GGCTAAATTTTTGATACTTTTGAAACTGTGCCTATTTTTAATTACACTTGTAAATCTGGCTATTTTTTGAATTTTACCTTATTAATCTTGTGATTGTGTGATCTTATTTGACATAAAACTATAAGGGGTAAATTAGGTAAAATGACACAATTGAAGCAGAATCATAATAAGATGAACTTAAATTGACTCATCAAAAGTTTTGGTACTAAATAGATTAAAGGAGTGAAACCGTAATAGTTTCTCAATTTCTTTAACATAAATTGATCGAGAAAAAAATTCATTCATAAAAGAAATTATTTGAAAAGCGTACTTGAATAGTTATATGTATTTGTACTACTCTGCTTAGAATCAGTAAGGAGGCCTGTCTGAATGCGATAATAAGTTGCATTAGCTGACTGCGATTTATAAGTAGCTTTTGATGAATACTATTTTTAAATCGCATTTGCTTTATGAGTCACATTTGCTCATAACGATTTATAATTAGCATCCAACGAATGTCCTTATAATCGCATTCTGTAAATACGACTTATACGTGAATACGATTATAAGTCGCATTAGTTGATGTCTTTTTTAAGTCATATTTGTGATTCATAAGTTTACAGCGGCTTATATGTATTTGTAAATGCAAATTATAAGTCGGTATCACTTTATTAGACTATAAGAACTCGGTTCAAACAAAACACCTCAAATTCAGCAGATTTGAGTATTTGTAGCTTTCGAGATTGATAATTAAACTTCAAGGTATAAGCTAATGTCGTTGCACTACAATCCTACCAACTAAAGCTAATTTAACCAATTACCAAATATTTTTCTCTACTCGTTGTCACGTCCTTAGTCGTTAATTAAGTACACGTGCGGTACTTGACAACGCGCTCACATAACTTTCACGTTCTTGCTATGCCAACTCAGTCTTACTACACTCAAGATCGCTAAGAGAATGGTAGAACATATGAGAATTGTCAAAGGAAGCTTTTGTATTAGAGAGAACTTATTGTTTTTCTTGGTGAATTACAAATGAATGGTCCCCTTTATATACTAGTCTTATAGGGGCTAGTGTGTAAATACTAATTGTTACACAAGTCCTTAATATTTACAAAATAAGGACTTTCTCTAGAATTCTCTACAAGCCTAGAAGATTTCACGGACTTTCCTAGTAAATCCATAGGGATCTAGAGTCTTCCAAAAGAAATGTACATACTTCTCTAAAATCTTCTCACAAATGCTAGCCTTCCTCCTATGTACGTTTTTATGTAGCATTAATATATGGAGAACGACAACTACGTGGCATGACGATGTGGCGAATCATAACATCATGCTTGCTCTAAACAACTACAAGTAGTTGACATACATGTAAAAATCTCCACATTTATTCAAATTAATAAACGGGTAGGATTTAAGGGAGGTGAAAGCTCGGACGGATGGATTTAGAAATAATAGTTATATGTATTACACTCATGTTTAAATTAAACCTTATATTAATTGGAACAAATTCTGAATAAACTAATCATTATGTATACTTTTTTTCCAACATGATAATACATTTTACTTATTCGTTTTTAACTTTTCACCGTCCAAAGTTAACGTACCACTTATTTGCCACAGTGTCATACATACTAGGAAAATTGACTCCTATAATTCTTTAGTAATGTGTGGAAACTTCCTTTCATTAGGCTTCCATAAGTCACCACTTGGAATTTTTTGCACAATAAATTAAGTATTATTATAACGTATTGAAAACGTACCAAACAGTAAACATGACGTTTATTTTTTCGTCACAGCCGTTGACGTTAGGGCACTACACCACTTTCATTTTGGCACCTCTCTCCTACAACCAATTATATATACACCACTTCCCTCTCCATTTCACTTCCCTTCCCCCCCCCCACACCCACCAACCCACCAACCTAACCCGCCATGCAACGATCTATACCATATAGAAATTGGCTGTCGTCCACCACCACTACCACCACCACCATGGGCGGGAGCTCCTCCGCCACCTCTAGTGGTGGTTCCACTTTTTTTGAGTCATATTCAGGTGAAAAGAGAGATAGATTCAGAATTTAAGTTTCATAAATTCAATTTTATATTCTTATTATTAAATTCATTGCATATATAAATTTATTGACTTGCCATTGAATATTTATTACAATTTTAGTGATTTTTCATATGTATTTCTACGTTTTGCCTTTGCAGGTGAGAGCAACGAAACCTACTCTAATGGCAAGAGAAATCAAGATAAAAACTCAGGCATCAGTACGGGCGTGACAAAATTAGTATCAGAGAATGCGATAATTGTCATAGCGACATGTGGATGTTGCATGTGCTATGTCATCAAGAATTTGCTACTAGGGTTAGGTGTTAACCCTACCATTTTTGAAGTGAACAAGGAAGATGAAGAAGATATGATGAAGGAATTGTCAAGAATTGTGGGCGCCGATGAACAAAACAGCGGCGGAATACGGCAGTTTCCGGCGGTTTTTGTAGGCGGAAAGTTGTTCGGAGGACTAGAAAGAGTGATATCTACACATATTTCTGGTGAATTAATTCCAATACTTAAAGAAGCTGGAGCTTTATGGCTTTGACTTAGTCAATTATATATTCTCTTGTCTGTCTTTTCGTATATCTTAGGTAATTAATCATTGACAGAAAAATCAGGAATTTTCTTACATCCCACTTTTACTCCATCTTGCTTAGATTTTTCGGTGGAACTCGAATCATACTTAATTTTTTTTTTTTTTTATCTTTTTTCCAAAGGTATGATAGGATATTTTAAATGGAAAAAAGTTGAATAAAAGATTATGATGGCAAGATTCTTTGTAAATGATGAGAATAAGATTATTGCTAAAATAATGTATTATTAATCTTCGAGAGGGAAGGTACAACACTAGGAGTATCCATCATTGCCCAAGTTAGGCACTTGGATTAATCATTAATATCATTCGAAGAACTCCATTTACCATTTGTTGACTTTGACTTTTTGACATTTTGCATATTATTATACTCCATCCGTTCCAGTTTATGTGATCCTATTTCTTTTTTGGTTCGTTCCAAAAAAGAAAGACCCCTTTCTAAACTTGGAAACAATTTAGCTTAAACTTACAATTTTACCCTTAATGATGAGAAGCTTTTATAACCACACAAATATTCTGGGCCTCATTTTGACTTATTTAGGACCACAAATTCCAAAAGTCTCCACTTTTTCTTAAACTTCGTGCCCAGTCAAACATGTTCACGTAAATTGGAACGGAGGGAGTAGTCAATAAAGAGACAATGATTTATAATCATGATTAGGGGCGTACAAACCGAACCGAAAAACCGCACCAAACCGAAAAGTCAAACCAAACCGATTAAAAAATCCGACTTGGTTTGGTTTGATTTGGTTTGGTATTGAGTAAAAAAATCCGAACCAACCGACATATAAATATATAATTTTTATATATACTTTTAAGATTTTATATAGAATTTTCTTTAAAAAAGTCTAGAAATATTTGGGATTCTCTTGCGGGATATAAATTTTAATAGAATATGAAGTGCTCCATATTTATTGACCTTAAATAATGGGTTGTATGATCACTTTCTTATCAAATGTTACTGAAATGCGTCTATCACTTTGTTCTTCCATATTCATATCATACGCTAAGATCCATTAAATTCTTATATCTTTTTCGAATGTGAAGTGGTTATTAAAATTTAGGTATCATATTGATTTTTATGTTTATTTACTAAATTCGGTTAACGTGAAAGTGTATATCAACGAAAAATTATTGTCAGACGACTAAAAAGATAACTATTATGTGTTACTAATAGAATTCTCCCATAAGAATATTTTAATCGATAATATGTTTGTCAATTTTTTATATTTTTACTAAATAGATATTTACTTATCAAATATTTAACAAAGTAAGATTGAAATATTATGTAAGTAACAAAAAACTCGAAAACCCGAAAACCCCGACAAAACCGAACCAATCCAAACCAATATAGTTGGTTTGGTTTGATTTTGATAAAAACCGAACCAACCCGGTCCATGTACAACCCTAATCTTGATCATGACATGCTAATTTCGCTTTTTTTTTCTCGGTCAAGTAATTTATTATAACGTATCCCGTATTTACACAGGGTTCGGAGAAAGGTATTCCAAAATGTACAACTTTCCTAATACAAATATTATTGACTGTTTTCATGATTGTTTTACTGACTGCATACTAATCACACGGTGATAATTTTACTTGCTCCAAAATTTCCCTTCGATGATTACTAGTAATAAATTACAATACAATTCTTGCAGTATAGTTTGTGTTTAAAATCTGATCAGTGGGGAAGAATAGGCAAATTAAAATGATGTTATCACCAAAAAGGAAAAGAAGCTCCATTAACTGCTACTGTTTAAAAAACTTGCTCTTCTTTCTTGTAAAATACATTACTTTCAATTTTATTTTTAATATTATTTTTCACTTTAATTTATAACTACACTTTTGGAAATTTACTAATTTCATCAAACACATTACTTACCATAAAATTAAAATTCTAATAGTGTTTCATCAATTCTATCGAACATATGACGAAACATGCAAGTCAATTCTAATGGTAATAAATCCATTATTCAATCCTCTTTTGTGGATACACTACTAGAAAACCGTGAAAAATTATCCAGAAATACCGATCGAAATCGATAGGAAAGCTAAAAAAAATCAATTTTCGACCGACTTTAATCCGTCGAAATAAGGTTGGTCGGTAATAAATAGCGACCGAAGTAGGTCGCAATTTTCGACCGATTTCGGTCGGTCAATTAAATTTCACAAACGACCAAAAAAGAAAAAATTTACCGAAAAACTCGACCGAATTCAGTTGATATTTTTCGACCGAAGTTAGTCGGCATTTTTAATTAGGTAAGTAGAAAATGCATCGTCTTAGAATCGAACCGGGGTCTGTACTGTGGCAGGATACTATTCTACCACTAAACCGTTAATACATTTTGGTTTAAGACTTTTGTTATTTTAGTTGTACTCTTAATCATTTTCGTGCGAAGCGAAAATAAGCGACCGATTCAGTCTGTTTTATTAAATAAAATAAAATTACCAGTCGAAATCAGTTGGTTTTTAAAGATGACGACCGAAATAACTGACTGATGTCTGTCAAATTTTTGAATATTAATTTTAATTTATTTTAGATGAAAACCAAAGTTGGTGGGTTTCTTAAAAAATAAATTTGGCGGGACACAAAAATAATTTTTCGCATTTTTTTCGCCAAAAAAAACAGTCGAAGTTAGTAAGTTTTGTACAAAAAAATTGTAAAAAAAAATATTTTGAAAAACCGACCGACTTCTTGACCCATCGAAGTCGATCGGTCGGCGGTCGATTTTGGCCGAATTTCTAGTAGTGATATACCACAATTTCCACTATTTGATGTTACAATAATAATAACAAACCTAGTGTGATCTCACAAGTAGGGTATTAGGGAGGATACTGTATACGCAGACCTTACCGGTATCTTGTGAAGGTAGAGAGACTGTTTTTGATAGACTTTCCACTTAAGGAATGACGAAAAAGAAGAAGTAGTAACAAGCAGTAACAACAACAAGATAATAAGATAATTAGAAAACATAAGAATTATACTAATATTACTGATATGGAAAAGAAATATACTCGACTACCTACTAACCATCTATCCTAATTCTCGACTCTCATACCGTTCTATCAAGGTCATGTCCTCGATTGTGACGACCCAAAGGGTCATCACCTATTTCCTTACCCATTTTGTGCTTCCGAGGCCCTAAAAACCTTGTTTAGGATTGCCTCGATTTGCGTGCGCAGTCCGGGCGTGTAGCCGAAAAGCTTAAATATGAATTCTATGAGAAAAATGCTAAATTTTGATATTAAAATGAATAAATTTGACTTCGGTCAACATTTTGGGTAAACGGACCCGGACCCGTGATTTGACGGTCCCGGAGGGTCCGTAGGAAAATATGGGACTTGGGTGTATGCCCGGAATCGAATTCCGAGGTCCCAAGCTCGAGAATTGAATTTTTGTGTGAAATTGTTTTCTGGAAATAATTAAGGAAATTGAAAAAGAAATTTGATTAGAAGACTATGGTATCGGGCCCGTATTTTGGTTCCGGCGCCCGGTACAAGTCTTATATATGATTTAAGCACTTTCTGTAAAGTTTGGTTGAAAATGGACGTCGTTTGACGTGTTTCGGACTTAAAATGGAAATTTGATGTTTTATGAAAATATGAAAGGAATCATGGATTTTGAGGCTTAATTCGATGTTTATGATGTTATTTTGGCGATTTGATCGCGCGAATAAGTCCGTAGGATGTTTTTGAGGTTGTGTGTATGTTTGGTTTGGAGCCCCGAGGGCTCGGGTGAGTTTTGAGTAGGTTCCGGGATGTCTTACACAGCGAGAGGCCTATCGAAGGCAGTTCGAGCGTCTCCAGCAGGGATCCATAACAGTTACCCAGTACGAGACCAGGTTTATTGATTTGGCTCGCCATGCTCTTGTTATACTTCCCACTGAGAGGGAGAGAGTGAGACGGTTTATTGATGGACTCATTCAGCCTATTCGTCTCCAGATGGCTAGAGAGGCTGGGAGCGAGATATCTTTTCAGGAGGCGGCCAATGTGGCCCGGAGGATCGAGATGGTATTGTCACATGGGGGTGGTCATAGAGCAGACAAGAGACCCCGTCAGTCAGGCCGATTCAGTGGTGCCTCGTCGGGAGGCAGAGATTCTTATGATAGAGGTCACCCTCCTAGGCCCTTCCAGTCAGCGCTCCAGGTTTCCCATGGTGCATCAGGTGATCGTGGTTTTCGTGGGCAGTATTCTGACCAGCAATCCTACAGTGCACCATCAGCACCTATCAGTGCACCGCCGCTTCAGAGTTTCCAGGGCCGTTCACCGAGGGCTTGTTTTACTTGTGGCGACACGAGGCACATTGCTAGGTATTGCCCTCGAGCTTCGAGCATTTCTCCGCAGCAGCAGGGACCCCATCCTATGATTCAGGCACCAGATGTTCCATAGCCTGCCCAGCTAGCTAGAGGCGGGGGTAGAGGTGCTAGAGGTGGAGGTAGAGGTCCTAGAGGTGGAGGCCAGCCAGCAGCAGGCCGTCCTAGAGAGGTAGATCAGAGTGGTGGGGCCCAGCCCCGATGTTATGCCCTTCAGGCCAGGCCCGAGGCTAAGGCTTCAGATGCGGTTATTACATGTACAGTTCTTGTTTGTGATAGAGATACTTCAATGTTGTTGGATCCGGGGTCTATGTATTCGTATGTGTCATCCTATTTTTCCCCGTATTTGATCATGCCTAGTGATGCATTGGGTATCCCTGTTTATGTGTCTACGCCGGTGGGTGATTCCATCGTGGTCGATCGAGTCCATCGCTCTTGTGTTGTGGTGATTGGGGGTCTGGAGACTCGTGTAGATCTGTTGCTTTTAGATATGATCGACTTTGATATTATATTGGGGATGGACTGGTTATCACCCTATCACGCTATCTTGGACTGCCATGCCAAGACTGTAACCTTAGCCTTACCGGGTATGCCTCGTTTAGAGTGGAGAGGGACTCCAGGTCATACTACCCGCAGTGTTATATCGTATGTGAAGGCTCGGGTTGACAAATGCCCCAACAACTTTCATGGACTTGATGAACCGAGTGTTCAGGCCTTATTTGGATTCATTCGTGATAGTTTTCATTGATGATATATTGATATATTCCCGCAGCCAGGAGGAGCACGAGCAACACCTTAGAGTGGTTCTTCGGACTCTGAGGGATAGTCAGTTATATGCCAAGTTCTCCAAGTGTGAGTTCTGGGT